GGTTAGGGAATAGGTTGGGTGTAACTGAATTGGAAGAAAGGGGGATAAAATCTCATACAAATTTATGAAAAAGGAAAAGTGGAAACATAGGGCTTAATTTTTTTTTTAAATCTTAGAAATGTGTGATTTTCCATCAAGAAAAGTCTTCAGTGCCATTCTTTGCTCTTCTTTCAATAAATCAGACTAACCCTAGCCACTATTGCTGTTTAATCGAACAGTGTAGCTGCTAATACTTCTTTAGGCACACTGTGACCAAATTACTGATACCAGAGCAATCAAATACATAGATTGAAGCCTGGCAAGATGGATTCTAACATGATTTTGTGATCTCAGGAGTCCAGGTGCCTTGCAATATTAGGTATGTTCAAAGTCTGATTGTCCAATCACAGTTGTGCGCACAACACTGTTTTGGGAGCTTGTTTTGCCTTTATTTTGACAGTTCTGCTCAAAGTAGACAGGAAATGGTGAGAGAGCAAGGGCCACAGGCTAGGCTCAAACCCATGACCACTGTCCTGGTTGTGTTTCTTGTCTGATTTCATGTTTGAAGGTCACAGTATTTAACTTGGGAGTACAATGTTATTTTTGCTGATAGAAATTAAAACTAGATACGATTGATGCTGTATTGAACCCAAATTGATCTTTTAAGAGCTTATATCTGCCTCCAGAACAGCAGAAGACTCAAGAAGACTGACTGTATAGACTGTAATGTGATTGGCTGTTTTTAGTATTAATTGGTGTATCAAACACACTATCAATACTAACTGTCCTCCTGGTGAAACATACAATAACATTCCGAGTTTGAAAACTAATGAAACAGAATTAACTAATGACACAAATGCAAATAGCATTTGACCCAGTGTGACTTTCATGGCAAATATTAATGTAATGTCCTTTATGACAAATTTGAATTGTGCAAATCTCTGTAGAGTGCAATCAACAAATACCCGACACATCTTTCCACTAACCCTTTCCCTGAAATTAAAATGAGGGTTTATAGGACAACATCATGTGAAGTTCATACGGATCCCTCAATGCAGTCTGACAGTGTCTTCTTAAAACAGGCTGCATGAAGTGTAAGTCCTCGTACTAGAGTCCTGGCTCAACCACCAGGAAGTCAATGTGGTCCTTCTCTTTGGTCTTGAAGGCTTCAGCGATGATCCGGGCGGCATCCTTGTGCTCCCGACCCCTTAGGGAAATGCCGTTGACCTCCAGGATGACGTGACCCACCTTCAGCTGGCCGCAGTTATGAGCTGAGCCACCTTTCTGTCAACAGGGACATGAAGGGAAGGAAAGAAGGGAGGCAGAGAGTAATTTGAAATATTTAGAAAGATAGTTCCATCCAGTGACAGATGAGTGATTAGTCAATAGAAAGCCTGTGTGCCTTTTATACTTACTTATATTACAAGGCAACCTTACCACAGTTTGACACCAACTAGGAATACAGGTTTTCCAGTGATTTTAAAGTTATAACTTCCCAGGAAAATATCACTATGCCTCTTTGTATTTGTAGGTTTACTGTAGTTGTAATATTAGAGATATCAGCTGCACTTCTTGACAAAGCCATAGTCACCACTGAAGACACTGAGGACATGTCCTTGGTATTGTCTACAGGAATTTTCCTCTTTAACATCCCGAGGAGTTTACATTCTACACTTTTTAGAAGAGAAGAAATTTAGTAGTGTTGGGACCACTAGGACATGAGACATCAGTACAGGTAGCTGTGTTTTTTACTGAGGTTTTATTGTTGTGATCTTGTTAGGGTGCTAGTAACCCCAATTTTAAGTCAGATTAACACATGATGTTTTAATTGTATGCTCCACACAGACACAGTCTTTGGTACATGGTAAATGGACCTGTACTTGTATAGCCCTTTCTAGTCTTCCGACCACTCAAAGTGCTTTTACACTACGTGCCACATTCACCCTTTCATACACATTCACACACCGATGCTATGCATCGGGAGCAATTTGGGGTTCAATGTCAGTATCTTGCTCAAGGATACTTCGACACGTGGCAGGAGGACCCGGGGATTTGTCTCTCTGCTGAACATATCAGAACAAGGAAAAATACCTATTCTTTCTGGCACACAACCACACATGCGCACCCTCACACACACATCACACGTCTTTAGTTGAGTATATGTAGTTGGTTTATCTTTTGTATTTTACTTTAAGTTGGTGCCCACAGATACTTAATATTAATTAAAGTTATTTTTATTGTGTTTGATAATAGATCATTTTAAAAAATGGAACTGATTACACCTTTAATTGGTGCCCTTTAAACTACTGTTATCCCCAGCAGTAGCTGCAGTACTGGTATTGTGTGAGAGGGCATAAAAAACAACATTTAAACCATTGTGTGTGGACCTAAAAAAGTTTATACATAAATCACAACAAAACTCCAAGGCACTCTCTTTTAAACAACTGAAATGCCTTTATTGTCATGGCATGGTCAAATTCAGATGCGTTTCAGCATGAAGCCTTCTTCAGGGAGTTAAATGACGAACGCCTGATGCTGAAACGTGTTGGTATTTTAGCTCATCGTTGTTTTGGTTTCACTGCCCTGCAGGTTCTGCTGTCATCGATCTTGGTTTAAGTGAAAAAGCTATTAGAAACTGGCTGCACACTACCTGTCAGGCAGACAGACTACTAGCTGGTGGAGAACGCCTGAAAAAGAGCAGGAGTTGGTAGAGACTAAACCAGAATTACAGGCAGAGTGAATAGTGGACTTACATTTATCAGATGGACACAAACATGACAGCAAATGAATGTTATTGTTGCTCTGTGTTTGCTGGATGTGTGAATAGGCAATTGTTTGCTAATACATTCCAAATTGAAACTTAATAAGTTGATAATTGTTTGGTGTTTGGGTTTTTAGCTGGCACCACTCCCCCCAAAGGCCTAGTACAAATCAATGAATGCAGCTTTTAAATACGGGAAACGTCAGTACACAATCAGTCCTTCCTACTTGAAATTGATGTTTTCTTCCATTCCTGTACTTCAGCTGAATTTAGAAAGTCATCAAGTTTACAGAGTGTGCTGCTTTCATACTTGACATTTACAAAGATCGGTCAGCTGCTGAAGAAAGTGAAGGATCTGAGTCGATGACTGAGAGTCATTTGTCAGTGTTACATGATCATTTATTCAACTAGGCAGTCTAAAAGAGCCACGGGGTTAATCCATCCATCCATTCCTTGATCCTTCCTGTGCTCAGGACAAACAGGACAACTGCCAGCATTGCCTGATTAAATTTAATCCTCAGCGTTAAACATGTTTATTTGCTGTGACATTCAATTACAAAGTAGCAGCTGAAAACATCACTGCGGGGCATACAGGCCAATAATAATGAATTTTGATTTTGCAGACAGGCCAAGAAACTCTGAGGAGGGTAATGAATCAGACACACTCTGTGCTGCTTCTACATCCATCACTATTACACCTATGAGCAAGGCATTAACCCCAAGTTGCTTCAAGCTTGAAGCTCCCAGTGGCCCAGAGGACAAGATTCCCTCAAGGCTCCCTGAAGCCTGCTTTAAAAGGTTTCGAGCAAGCCAGAAGGCAACACACAGCTACAGTTCAGTAAAGCTAATACTTGAAATGTCTGACATATTTTAAAGAAATGAAAGAAAAAGAAAAATTGGTCAGCTCTTGTGAGTGCAGGAAACTGAAGCAAATTCTGATGCTAAACACACTTGATTTGACTATTGCAACAGCATCTTCTATAGTACATCTTTCAAAGTCCTTAATAAACTTCATTACATCCAGAACTCTGCTGGGGTGACAGGGCTTTTTCCATAGCTGCCCCTCCCTCTGGAACTCTCTCCCCAAACAAAACCAAGACTGTACTGATCCATCCAAGTATTTTGATAGTGACAGCTGAAGACAGACAGGAAAAGGGGGCAGAGAGGGGGGATGACACGCAGCAAAGGGCCGCAGGTCAGTTCGATTAATTCATTTTTGAGTGTTGTAGATATAGCTATAATTTCTTAGTGTGTTGTTTTTATTACCTTTTTCTTTTCCTTTTAACTTATGTGAAGTGTCTTTGAGTTTCTTGAAAAGCGCTCTATAAATTAAATGTACTATTATTATTATTATTATTATTATTATTATTTCCAAACAGAGCCATTGTTGACAGTTTTTAGTCAAGCATCAAATCAACTGTCAATGCTGAGGTTGTTTCTGAAGGTGGACAGAACTGACCAGCTGGCAAAACCAACAACCGTAATCACATATCATGAACAAGGTTCAAGCATGAATATTATCTGTTCTCATACTTAAAATAAACAACAGGCTCAGAATTTTAGTTACTGAAGCAAGCAAGTAGTTTCCCCTCTGTGGGGGTGAAACATCTGAGTGGGTGGGTCAGTGTGTATGTGTATTGATATTGATTGACAGCTAAGTCATGTTAGCACAAAGACCAGTGTTGCACATTAGCACGCTAAAAGAGCAAATGGTGAACTTAACATATCCGTTTGCAACTAACAAACATGAACTTGAGAGTTTTAACTCTGTGAAAGTTAACAGCACTCATAAACTGTGCTCACATTTGTGTACTATGAACCTGAACTGGTTTATTATCTGCTTGAACTGAACTTTATCTCTTTTAAAGTGTGAACTTGCACTAGACTGACAGACTCAGCTAGAAAGGCAACTCTAGCAATGAGCTACTGTACTGTAGAGCCTGACCAACGCTGGGTTTTTGAGACCAATACCGATTTTAGAGGGGAAAAATTCACAGGTTAGCAATATGACGGGCTGATCCCGCATAGCATATGAATTTATAAGCTGGAATGAAAACATACCTGAACATAGCCTTTTAACATTGTCTTGTTTTTATGTATTTCTTTCTTTATGTAAGTTATTTGTTCTTGACTACACAATTCTGTGTGCTTCATTAATACTTTGGAATATTGTTGAATTGAATTCCTGTCAAGGGTCAAGCCAGAAATGTACGTAGTCTGCTGAATATTTACTCAACATATATATATATATATATCAGGTTCTGTTTGAATTGATACTGATACTGCGCTGTGTTAATGCATGTTAAAATATACATTTCTCAATTGTAAGCACCAGGCATCGTGTTTTACGGAGCAGGTCAGTAAAAATATGCAACTTAATTTTTGTTGGGGTGTGTGTATGTATTGTCAGGGTCTTCGCCTCCAAACCAATACAATATCCAGTCTGCCAACTATTTCAACTTCTCTGTCAACCTAGCTGGTTTTAATTAGGCTGAAAAGAGATAAACCAATTTAGATCAAATCCCACACTTTAGTCTCCACAACACCAAGTGAGTCCAATGACTGTGTGCAACCATTCAGAACAGAGCAAAGTGTGCTCATTAGATTACAGCCTCTTGATATGATAGGAATATGATTGGCTAAATGTGCATATGTTCATATGCAGTGTCACGCTGTGTTTGACTAAGTGACTGTGATCATCAACATGCTGACTGACATTCAAAGTCATCCACTGTCCTGAGATTCACAGAGACGAGTGAACAGAGTCATTGTTATGGAAATCACCGCACAGCCACGAAAACTCCTCAAGGATGCCCTACACACAAAAGAAAGTGGGGTAGGGAGGGAGGGGGGTTGGGTACCGCTGAAGTGACCGAGGCTATAACTCATTCAGTGATTAGTTGATGTTATCGCCTCTCACTCTCAGCCCATATAAACACTTCTGTTATGGAAATGTACCGCATTGCTTTCTTTGTACATTGTTGGACATAACAAAATGTGAAAGGTGTCCAAGAGAAATATCAGCTAGAGGACTTGTATTTGCAGATTGCTTTAAAATGCTGTCTGTGCAAAACAAATGCAAGCTAATAATAAGATGCTGAAGGAAGACAGAGTTTCTATCAAAGCAGAAATGGAAATATTAATGCACTGGAGGGAATATTCTCACTGCATAATTTAAAATTCAAGTCATGTGCAGTCATTTTTAAAGAAAAGATACTGAACATTGGCACAAAACAATGACTTTGAACTAGAAACCTGCAAAACCCTATCGTATAGCTGTCTCACCTGAATGGTGACTATGCGCGGCAGAGGTTGCCTTGTGTTGGCTCCCCCCTCTATAGCGATGCCAAGAGTGTTGGCATTTTTCAGCACTCGTACCAGGGTAGCAGTAGGCGCTGGGACCGGTGAGCCAGTCTGTTGGGACACAAAGTGAAGAGGTATTAGGCAGCAAGGTAACACTTTGTCCTCAAAGTTGATGTGTTAGAAGCAGGAAAAATGCAGCGTGAGGATTTGAGCAACTTTGACAAGGCTTGTGATGGCTAGACGACTGGGAC